CATGCCTCTCACCTGGGCCCTTCCCCCCTCACCTGCCCCCATGCCACACCCCTTCACTCTGGGCACCCTGCCTCCTGCCCCCTCACCTGGGCGCCCAGTGCCCTGCTCCCACCCGCCTGCCCCTCTCACTTGGGAACATCGTGGCCTCCTCACCTACCTGCGCTGTTTTGCCCCCCTGGAATCCTGCCTCTCCCCACTTGGGCACCCTGTGCCCCCTAATCTAGGCATCACACACCCTGCCTCCCCACCTGGGTTCCCTGCAAGCCTCTTCTGAGAACCTCGTGCTCTGCCCGGTACCTATCTGGGCACTCCATGCCCTGCCCACTATACACCTTGGCACCCACTACTCTGCTCACCACCCATCTGGGCATCCCTTGCCCTGCCCTGCCCCAGACAGCTCGTAGTGTTGCCAGTTTTAGTTGGAGGCATTCCAGGAGGTTTCATCACATGACATAATATTTAAAAATTAATATTTAATTCCTGGGGACTCCAGGACAATCCTGGAGGGTTGGCAAGCCCAGCACTAGTATCCCCCAGGGCATCCAGTGCCTTGCTCTCCCTTCACCTAAACACCCACTATCCAGGCCTCTCACCCATCTGGGCACCCAATGCCCTGATCCCTTAGTTGGGGATCCCTTAGTTGGGGCACCTGGTTTCCTTGTCCCCTCTAATCACCTGAGCACCTAGCATCTGCCCTCTCCACTCACCTGGGCACCCAATACCATCCTGCTCCCCGGCAAACTATCACTCTTCCCTTTCCCACATTTTGCACCCAACACTCTGCTCTGTCACTCAACAGAGCACCCAATACTTTCCCTTCCAACACGTTTGATATCTGGGCAACTAATACTTTGTCCTCCAATTTAACTGGCACCTGGGTTAATCTGCCTCCTACTCACCTGGGCCCCCCAAAATTGCCCCCTGACACATACCTCTGGTACCCGAGCACAAAATAGCCTACTTCTGTTCTCTCCAAATGCACAGTAACATCTGCAAACATTTGACTGTCGGTGTATAAATAGCATAAGAACGGCCGTTCTGTGTCCCACCAAAGCCCAGTATCCTGTCTTCTGACAGCGGCTATTGCCAGGTGCCCTAGTGGGAATGAACACAACAAGTAATCATGAAGTGATCCCTCCCTGTCACCCATTCCCATCCATGGGAAACAGACGCTAGGGATGCCATCCCTGCCCATCCTGGCTAATAGTCATTCATGGACTTATTCTCCATGAATTTATCTAGGTGTTTTTTAACCCTGTTATAGTCTTGGCCAGCCTTCACAGCATCATCTGGCAGGGAGTTCTACATGTTGACTGTGCACTGTGTGAAAAAATACTTTGTTTTGTTTGTTTTAAACCTGCTGCCTATTGATTTCATTAGGTGGTCCCTAGTTTTTGTGTTATGAGAAGGAACAAATAGCAAGCAGTTCCTTATCTACTTTCTCTACACCAGTCATGAACTTTTAGACCTCAGTCTCCCCTTAGCCATCTCTTTTTCCACGTTGAAAAGTCCCCATTTTATGAATCTCTGCTTATACAGAAGCTGTTCTGTATGCCTAAACATTGTGTTGCCCTTCTCTGAATCTTTTTCAGTTTCAATATATCTTTTTTGAGACGGTATGACAATATCTCCATGCTGTATTCAAGATGTGAACATACAATGGATTTATATAGAGGCAATATGATATTTTCTGTCTTATTTTCTCTCCCTTTCTTAATGATTCCCAACATTCTGTTTGCTTTTTTGACTGCTGCTGCCCATCAAGTGGATGTTTTCAGAGAACTATCCACAAACTATTCAAGATCTTTTTCTTCAGTCATATAATTTAGACCCTCAATCTAGAACAGTTCCTCATATCTGTCACCTAAAAAAAATGGCTCTGGTTTGGGAATCTCCCTCAAGGCCTCACTTGTGAAAACTGATGCAAAGAATTCATTTAGTTTCTTTGTAATGGCCAAATTGTCCTTGAGTGCTCCTTTAGCATCTCAATTGTCCAGTAGCCCCATTGGTTGTTTAGCAGGCTTCCTGCTTCTGACGTACTTACAATTTTTTTGCTGTTACTTTTTTGAGTCTCTGGGTAGCTATTCTTCACATTCTTTTTTGGCTTTCCTCATTATATATTTTACACTTTACCTGCCAGACTTTATGCTCCTTTCTATTTTTCCCTTTATGATTTAACTTCCACTTTTTAAATGATGCCTTTTTCTCTTTCACTGCTTCTTTTATTTTGTCGTTTAGCCATGGTGGCACTTTTTTAGTTCTCTTTTTATGTTTTTTAATTTGGAGTATACATTTAATTTGAGCCTTTATTACGGAGTCTTTAAAAAGTCTCCATTCGGCTTGCAGAGATTTCATTTTTTGGCACTTTACTTTTTAATTTCTGTTTAACTAACCTCTTTTTGTGAAATTCCCCTTTCTGAAATTAGATGCTTCCATGTTGGGCTGCTGTGGAGTTTTTCCTGCCAGAGGAATATTAAATTTAAGTATATTATGGTCACTATTACCAAGCGGTGCAGCTATAATCACCTCTTGGACGGATCCTAATTATTTCACTAAATCACCTGTTGCCACGGACTCTACCATGCTAGCCAGCTACATTTCTAAGGTGACAAACAAGCAGGAAGGAAAGCCTTCCAGATATTGGCCTAGTGTTTGTGTCTGTCGCAGAGAGGCAGAAAGAGACACCCATGAGTCATTGCCCCTTGGGTGGTCTCCTTTCAAAGACGCACGTGTGCTCCCTTAGCAGTGCAGCTGTTTGCCAGCACAGGTTTGTCCGTGGAAAATCAGGCTGTTGCTGGTTTGAGCACTTTGTTCCTGTCGTGTCACAACATTGCTAGAGGCCCCTTATCAGCTTTGCTTGTCTCAGCCTTGAGAGCTAGACCTTTGTCCTGGCAACCAGGAGTGACCTCGCCCCAGGCCTGAGGGAGCACAAAGAGATGTGCTTTTCTTCCTTTCCATGCCAGGTGGATTTCCAGCTCACACCAAACCCAGTGAAGGGGCCCCTGGAGAAAAAGGCCCCGGCCACCAGCCTGAGCAGCAAAGTCCTTCAGAAGAAGGTGGTGCCAAGAGCAGCTCATAAGAAGACACAGAGATGAAGAGGGGCCCAATGTGCCGAGAGCTGGAGGGGTCTCTGGATGGAGGGCACCAGCAGCAAGCGAGCGTCCTGACGTAGTGCGACGATCCCAAATTGCCTCGCGTATTAAAGTCACAAATCTTTCACTCCCGACCCAGCCACGCCCTTGGGCCAAGTCGCTCATCTCCGCGGTACCTCGGTCGGCGTGTTCTCCAGGCACAGACCGGCCGTTACCTCCCACTGGCCTCCTAGCCTGCAGGCCAGTCCAGAGGTTCAAGGGTCGTTTTTAGATCCCGTTGGCATTGGGAGCAGGAGCAGTTCTTGTAGCGGGGGTGCTGCAATCATGCCTATGGGAGTTGTTAATACTGCTGCACCCTGGTTCCCCATCTATGGTCAGATGCTGGGTTTGTGATACTGTAAGGCCAAGAGGCAGACCCACGCTGGGAGCTTAGCTGAGCCTCTGCAGTTTGCGTGACAAGCCAGCTGAGCACAGCTAGGCTGCGGAGCCGACTCGGTCTCTCC